GTAGTACCTTTCGTTTATGGACCTATGATTTTTTATGAATTTAAAAAAGGAAAAGAAGAAAAATAAAAAGGGAAAGAAAATAAAAAGAAAATTCTATGGGCAGCAGTGAAAAAAATTCAAACGGCAGCCAAACAAGAATAAGAATTTTCCTTTCTCCCAAACAGACCAAAGCAGCTGGCACCACTCTCCCCTTTGCACAATCCTTCATTTATTTTTGAGAAAAGGAAAATCAGAAAACAAGTGTCAGCGCAGCGGTGATGATGGATGAGTAGATCTGAATGCACTATTCTCACTCGTCAATGTAATTTTCAAGCTTCGTCTCCCTGTAAGTCAATGCTTCATCTTCAGATCGCCGATTCTAAAGTTTCTAGCTTTAGGTTTTACATTTTGCTTCATTTTCAGTGTTAAATCCCATGATTTTTTTCTTCTTCTTCTTTAGGGTATATGGATAATTGAAGATTGGCATTTAATTCTAGATCTTAAACTGTGAATGCAGTTTGAAATTTGGGAACTTTGAGCTGGAGATTTAGGTTTTGTGTTTTGGTATCAGTAATGGTGTTTTGGGAGGGATATGTGAGTGATGAAGCAATGGGCACATTTGCCCCGATTGTGGTTTACTGGTTGTATGCTGGATTTTATCAGCTTTTGCCGCCATTGGATAAGTTCCGGTTGCATACCAGGAAAGAGGAGGAAGAGAAGAATTCCGTGCCGCTCTCCTCTGTGATTAAGGGTGTTTTGCTTCAACAGCTGGTTCAAGCAACAGTTGCTCAATTGCTCTTCCTGGTCAGTTATCAAACTTTTCATTGCTGGTTTTTGTTCAATGCTTTATGATCACTCTTGTAATTCTTTTTATTGTTTTGGTTAAGTGCAAAGGAAGTGTGGAACTTGAGGTCACTATAACTTGTCTAGTGAAGTGTGTATACACTCAATTTCCTTAGCATTCTTATATCTTGTGTGAATATTTTACTCTCCACTTCTTCATATTTACACTTGACTGTGTATTATGATACTTTATTAGAATTTATTTCAAAGTGGTTTTGTTCATTTTTGGACTTCTGGTTTAGGTGAATACATGGAAAAATGAATACATAGGTAATTCTTAAGTGGTTTGGCTTGATATGGAGGACAATATATCTGAAATTGAAATATATTTTTTACTTCAAGAGGGAAAGTGAGAAATTTTTTTCTGTAAAAAAAAAAACCTTTTTATCAAGGAAGCTCTTATTGGGATTTGTGGATGGGGAACACACATTGCACGGTACTACAACCTGTTTTATAGGCATTCTTTAATTTGTATTGGTTAAAACGTAATAGTGCATGTTTGATTTTCATTTTAGTTACATGATTGCTACTTCATTCTTGGTTTTTCTTGCACTCCCTTTCTTCTGTTCTCTCATTCTACTTCCACTCTATGTGCTCATAAAATAATACTCAGCATTTCTGCATCGATTTGCGTCTTTAGTTTAGACTGTTGGGTTTATTTAACAGATGTTAAACCACAATAATTATTTGCATTATCATTGGACATGCCAACTATCCAGTACTCTTTATATATACTTAATGATGACTGATTATTTGAGTTTATCATCTCATATAACTTTCTGCTAAGAAAAGAAATACTACTTGGGCTCAGATAAGGATATCCATTATCTACTCATCGCTATGGTATTTAGCTTTTGCCTGTCATCCTTATGTGATTTTTGAACCTTGGTGGTTTGAACATGTAACACATACGCCTTCTGCTTAACTTGTTCTCCTGTTCATGCTGCAGTTAACCTCAAAGTTTGATGCCTCCGCAACCCCAATCCAGCCTTCCATTCCTATGCAAATTGTGCAAATTATTGTCGCAATGTTCACAATGGATACATGGCAGTATTTTGTGCATCGTTACATGCATCAAAACAAGTTTTTGTACCGTCATGTTCACTCCCAACATCATAGGCTGGTTGTTCCTTATGCGATTGGGGCTCTTTACAATCATCCACTTGAGGGTCTGCTGCTTGATACTTTTGGTGGGGCCATTTCTTTCCTTGTCTCAGGAATGACTGCAAGGACAGCTGTAATTTTCTTCTGCTTTGCTGTGACTAAAACCGTGGATGATCATTGTGGATTATGGTTGCCAGGCAATATCTTTCATATTTTCTTTCAGAATAACACTGCTTATCACGACATCCACCACCAACTTCAAGGCACGAAGTACAACTACTCCCAGCCATTCTTCTCCATATGGGATAGGCTTCTGGGAACTTACATGCCTTACACTCTTGTGAAGCGAGCTGAAGGAGGTTTCGAGGCAAGGCTGAAAAAGGACTAGTTCCATTCTGATGATTTGTCTAGTGTAATACGTATGGCTTTTAGTCCGCACGGGAAATATAATTTTTGCTGGGGTTGTGCCATTCCTGGGAAGTTGAATCAGAGTCGTTTGTTTGAGGATTTAATCCTAGCATTCTAGCAGGATTGACTGGGGTTGTTCATCCCCTTTTCTAGTTGTGCTAGACACTGGACAGTGTTGTGCCTGGTTGATTAGAGAATTTCACCGACCGGTAATGTGAAATGTAATTGTGCTATTGTTGATCTGTAGCATATTGGTTTTGTTCTTCGGTTGTGTTGGGATCATATGAATTGCCTTTGTATTCAATCTTTAATTGCTTTGAGTCCTGATCAAGTTTATTGTTTTCCTTGCTCTCCCCCAATGTCCCCTTGGGAATTTTTGTTAGAGAAGCAAGTGAACTCAAACATACTTGAACACCATCAAGCATTTAACTTAAAATCAATTAATAGGTGGAGTAGAAAAGATGCTACTCCGTCAATTACACAGAAAAGAGAAGAAAATAAATAGGATAAAAGGAATAACAGTGTGATGTATTAGATGATGATGAATAAAGGATTTTGTTTCTTGAATGTGCTATTTGAGGAACAGATCAGTCACCAGTAATCTCTACAAGAACAAGAACCTTCTTGAAATCTGTGAAACCGAATCCGATCCCTAACGATAATTTCCCTGTCATAGATCTTAGATATGAGCTTAATCACAGTATGACAATCCCCACATATCCTTAGATTCTTAATCACTTGTATTGGAGTTCTATCACCGGTACTAATCAAACCAAATGCCACGGCCAGCTTCTCACTATGATAACACAATTGATTCTCCTTCTCCTCCTCTCCTATGTCATGAAAAACAAAACTAGTTTCAGCCACATACCCAAGCTCTTTAATCTTGAACCTAATCTCATTCAACTTTTCAGAAATCTCTCTCCATCTCGTATTGCTTTTGTCGTCTGTGAAAAACTTGTGTATCGTGCCATCCACCTCAATGTAGCTAAAACCAGGCACCTTCTTTACATTCCTGTTCTTCATGGCATCCCTCACCTTTCCCACGTCACCCCATCTTTTGTGCGCTGCATAAATATTGGACAGCAACACAAAATCCCCACAACTACGAGACCCCATCTCTACCAGCCTACTCGACACCATCTCTGCCATCTCCACATCCTTGTAAATCTGGCAAGCCCCAAGCAAACTCTGCCAGAGCACCAGATCAGGCTCCATTGGCATTGAATTGATGATATTATAAGCCTTCTTGACCTGCCCAGCTCTGCCCAACAAATCAACCAGAGTTCCATAGTGCTTAACATTTGGTTTGACTCCATGCCTCTCCATGGAGTTAAACAACCTCATCCCATCCTCCACAAGGCCAGCATGATTACAAGCACACAGCAAGGATAGATAAGACACAGCATCGGGCCGCACCCCAGCCCGATCCATCTCCTCAAAAAGCTCAAGGGCTTTATTACCATCTCCATGCATCGCAAATCCCATGATCATAGTATTCCACGTAACAACATTCTGTTTACAAATGATGCCATTGAAGACTTCATATGCCTTATCCACAAATCCACATTTTGCATACAAATCTATAACTGCATTGCAAACCTGAACGTTCAAATCCAACTTCTGAGTTCTTATATACCTATGAATTCTTTCACCTTCTTTAATAGCACCCAGATGCGAACAGGCCGAGAGTGCACCGAGTACCGTAATCTCATTAGGCCTCAACCCTTCTGTTTCCATTTTCTTGAACAAAGCTATAGCTTCACCAGCCTGGTCCCCTTGAGCCAACCCCAAAATCAACGCATTCCAAGAGGCGATATCTCTCTGTACCATTTCATCAAACACCTTCCTCGCACTACCAATATCCGCAACTTTGGCATACACGTCCAGCAAAGTGGTACCCAACAGAGCATCGGCCATGAACCCAAAACGTATAACATCCGAATGTATCTGCATTGACTCGGAAGCAGCCAACCCACGAGCGCAAGCCTTGAGAGTGAAGGAGCAGGTCAGCGCGTCCACCCGTTGAGACCCGCATCGCATGGTTCGGTACCATGCAATGGCTGCTGAAGGTTCGGGGCTTTGAGCGAAGCCACGGATGATGGCATTGAAGTCGTTGGTGGATGGGTTTGGAATTTGGCGGAAGACAGCGGCGGCGAAGGGAAGGGAGCCGGCGGGGGAGATGGCGCAGTGGTCGAGGAGTTTGGAGCGGGAGGGGCAGAAATGGAATTTGCCGGTGGTGATGAGGTGGGCTTGGAGTTGCTTAATGTGAGAGAAGGTTGTGCATCTCTGCACCAGTGACTCCACGTTGGCCATTCCATGACCTCACCCGTATTTTTTCAAACTCAGAGTAAATATATAGAATCCCATAAATCAAGACATCTGTACGTGAGAACGTACTATTACATTCATTTGTTAAGTAAGTCCCAATTAAGAGTTCATTTAATGAACGGTTATGATGTACTTCTTAACATCGAAATATCTTGATTTTTACTTTTTTTTGTTAAATATAAGTGCACCTCATTGCATTTTTTTTTTTTTGTAACATTGAGTTATTCCATAGCAAGTAATATTGTAACATCTCAAATCTCATAGAGAATTATGAGTGAATTTAATATATAAATATAAAAATCAATATTAATAATTTAAACTTAAATTTTTAGAAGTGTGTGAATTTTGACCTTAAGAGTGTTAAGATAATAATAAAGTTTAATTTGAGTGTTTTTATGCCATGTAAATTAAAATTTACTGTATATGATTTGAAAGATTTGAAAGATTTGAAAGAAACGAAAAGAATAAAGAGCAGAAATCTCTCATTTAAATAAGACATATTGTTAATGTTTAGATCTAAATCAAACTAGAATTTCTCTCTCTAAGTCCAACACTCCGCCTTCTCTCTTAAATTTATGTCCGCTACAGTGACCTAAATTCCTAATTCCCAAGAATTTAATCTTTTAACTCATTTTGTTAAGTGCATCAAAGGGGATGGAAATCCTCTTATTACTGAAGAATACCAGTTATATGAAGCTCTAAAGCAACTTTCATATAGAGATATGGTGTCTCTGCTCGAGCCTACTGCAATCCTATGTGATAACTCAAACAGAGATGAAATTTTAGATGAAGATTCAGATGATGAGGATGATGGGTCTATTCCCACCATACTTATCTCTAAGGAAGAAAAGAGAAGAATTCGACAACCATGGATCAACTCTATAATTATTAAAGCTTTTAGTACCGATAGAGCTAGTTACAATTTCATCTTTCCAAGGATTAAGGCCCAATGGAAACCAAGAGGCAAAATGGATTGCATTGACTTGGGTTTAGATTTCTTTCTCATCAGGTTCCATGAGAAGGAGGATCTAAACCGTGTACTCCATGGTGGACCATGGTTTGTTGGTCCTCACTTTTTCACAATTAAGAGGTGGGAGCCTTTCTTTGATCCTACGAAAGCCACCTTCACGACAACAGCAATTTAGGCAAGACTCCCACACCTCCCTATTGAGTGTTATGATGTTCAAATCCTTGAGCGAATTGGAAACATGCTGGGAACTCCTCTTCGACTGGACGCACACACAACTCACCAATCAAGAGGTCAATACACTAGAATTTGTGCGCAAGTTGACCTTGATGAATCTTTAGTGCCATTCGTTTGTATTTGTAAGCATGTTTAGAAATTCCTTTATGAAGGACCTGTTACTTTATGCTATTCTTGTGGATGTGTAGGGCACAAGGAAGACAACTACCCCCTTAAAGTCCCTCAACCTATGGCTGTCTTGAATGAGCAAAATGTCCAAACACAAGCTCCACAAGCCCCATCTGATGGAAACTATAATGAACCACTTGAGAATCAACGATTTGGACCATGGATGTTAGTAGAAAGGAAAAAGAACAAGAAAAAGTTGAACAAGGCCATTTCAAGCAACTCAGCGAATCAACTCACTGAACAAGAAATGGGTCAAGATTGCCTAATTCAAAAGAAAATGTTAATTCTATCACCGCAATTAATGCAATGACCGTTAATCCCAACAATCCAATGCTGATCACCCAACCTTCTACTTTAATTCCTAAAGATCATAATTTGGATTACTCTTATTCGGCCTATGATGAAGGTGCTACAAATACTTTGGCCCACCAAAATTATGACCATGTTAATGACGTAATTGTCGACTCCTCTACCACTAAATCCAATTCTAATGGACTCAATTTAGCTTTGTAGGCCCATACAAGGATTACATCTGATAAGGTTGCTGTTTCGGATAAGATTCCATTGCCACCATCTACGGCACGTGGAAGGGCTTCTTCTATAAAAAAATATGTTCCTCATTCGGAGAGCTTGCAAAATGTCTGCAATCACTCTTCCACTAAATCAACCTCCCCCATTGGAACTTTGGGTCATCGATCCAACCACCTTCACCAAGCTAAGTCGCTTGTGGGATGTGCTGCTAGTCAACAAGAACAATCAAATAATTTCACTAAAGAAAGCACCATCGTTGGTTCTAGATAGGAACCCGAAGCTAATTGAGGGTTGGACATTGGATGCGCTCGAGAATTGTTGGAAAAAACCCATTTTGATGATGAAAGGAGTAGATCCTACTCTCTTTCTCTCCTCACCATTGGAGGGGATTCCTCTAACCCTAAAGCACTTGTCTCCAGACTCATTCATCATTCGGAAGGCTGTCTAGTCACCATCAGCGGAGATACTAAGATGGGACGACTGGTCGAAGCCAATTGTCCCCAAACTCTTTATAACGCCGATGGGGCAACCTTACCTGTGTCTTTTCAAGATGATAGGATGCATGAGGACAATGCACCTGGTGGTTAGGAAGGAAGAGGCACAGAACTCTATGCTTCAATATCAACAAATTGTGTTGTTGTACTACTTCCCATGAGTCAATATGATGGTTATGAGTAAGGAAGGCCAACTAGTGCAGCTTTAGGAAGTAGCCAGGTGGGTTATGACCACCTTCAATAAACATGCTTAGACTATGAAGATAATGTCATGGAATAGCCGCGAGGCAACTAAGTAAGATTTTAGGAGGAATGCCATGGATATTATCAATCAGCACAATCTAGGTATTTTTGTGATCATGGAAACAAAATTGGCCAGCGAAAGAGTTATCAAAGCCATTAAAGCTTTAAGGTTTCCTAAGAAGGTCATTGTTAATTTGAATGGCTTTGTTGGGGGCATTTGGATGCTATGGGATGATGCAAATTATTCTGTTAGCATCCTCAATGCAGGACCGCAAGTTATCCATGCTAATGTCCAAGTAAAATCCCATCCTTCCTTTTCCAATTTTCATTGGTTTTTATCTGCTATTTATGGTTGTCCTCAGTTTGAGATTAAGACTCTGCTTTGGGAGAACTTAAAGCAATTTTCTCAATCAATTAATGGTCTATAGGTTGTCATTGGGGATTTTAATGATGTTACTACTCAAAGTGATCAATTTGGCAGTAACCTTGTCCCCCAATATCGCATCCATGCTTACACTGACTACATGAGCTTATGATCGTCAAGGTGATATGCTTGTCAAGTTGGACTTGGAGAAAGCTTATGATCATCTTGAATGGAGCTTCATTAAAGAGACTCTTATCTTCTTTAATTTTCCACCATTGTTGATTAAGCTTATCATGTCTTGCATTTCCTCAATCATCTTTTCTTGCATTATTAATGAAGGTGTTACTGATTCGTTTAAACCTTCTCAAGGTCTTAGGCAAGGAGATCCTTTCTCTCCTTGTTTATTTATACTATGTTTGGAGTATCTTTCCTTAAAGCTTCATCATAATACCAATGCTAGTATCTTGAAAGGCTCTAAACTAGGTAAATTGGGCCCATATTTCTTTCACTTATTTTTTGCTGACTATCTTATTTGTATTGGTAAAACCACAGTTTCAAACTCCTTGTATCTTAAAGGTCTTCTTGAGTTCTTCTGTTCTCGCTTGGGCCAGAACATTAATCAGGATAAGTCCAAAGTCTTTTCTCTACTAATGTTGATCTTGAAACTAAGCATGCTATCTGTCAAGCCCTTGGTTATATGGGAACTCACTCCTAAGGAAAGTACCTTAGCTTCCCTATTACTCCTATAAAGATCAAAAAATCTGATTACAACTTTATTGTTGATAAAGTCAGATCTAAGCTTGCAGGGTGGAAACCCAATATGCTTTCCCTCACTGGAAGAGTTACCCTAGCCTCATCTATCCTCTCTTCAATTCTTAATTACTATATGCAGGGTATGTTTTGTCGAGCTTCTATTCACAAGGTACTTGATACCATCTCTAGGAACTTCATTTGGGGTTCGACATTAGTCAAGAAGAAAGCCAACCTGATATCTTGGGATAGAATTACTCAACCTAAAAAGGAGGCATTGGCATTAGGGCTAGCAGAGAAGTGAACCAAGCTGCTATGGCTAAACTCCACTGGAGGGCGGTCATTGAGACTCAAAAACCTTGGGCTAAAGCCTTCACATCCAAATATAAGTTGAATCTCTATGCCATAACTTTGCTTATTCACCTTCCCTTCTTTGTAAAGATATCTCTAAGGGTAAATATATTATTAACAAAGGCATCAGTTGGATTGCACGGGATGGTTCAAAAATCCTCTTCTGGTTGCATAGATGGATTCTAAAAGATCCCCTTTGTTCTATTTTGTATGGCCAATTAAACCACATGATATGGACATCACTATGAAAGATTTGCTGGTCATGAATGGTATATGGAATTTTGATGCGATTGCCTAACCCTTACCACAGGACATCATACAAAAAATTGTGACCACTTCTATTCAAAGACACAACTTTGAGCAAGATTCTTTCAAGTGGAACTGTTCTACTAATGGCAAATTCTCCATGAAATCTACCTATTATATGGCAAAAAATATCCAGTGGTCACAGAATGATGATTGGGCTTGGATTTGGAATGTTTGTACCATTTCAAAAATTCAATATTCTCTCTGGCTCCTTGTACATGGTAGAATTCTTACTTTTGATATTCTTGCTCAATGGGGTCTGGTTCATGATACTAGGTGTCCTAGATGCAGAAATGGTCCAGAAACTCTTAACCATATTTTTACGGAATGTTAGTATGTTGCCTTATTTTGGAATTCCATTGTTTCTCGATCCATCCCACCTTGCAATCAAAATCTTGATTTCAAAAGTTGGATTAAGGCCAATGTAGGTTTAAATAATTCCCCTACCTCTGTTTCTACTTGGCCTACTATTTTTTCATATGCTGTTTGGTCTATTTAGTATTCTAGGAATCAACTTGTGCATGTTAATAGACATATCTCTATCCCTAATCTGAGGCACTCTACTCTGGATAGAGTGCAGGACTTCATTAAAATCTAGCTTGATCTTACTAATCCTCAAACCAAAATCATGATTTCTGTTGGCTGGTCCACCCCTCCCCTAGGTTTTACTAAATTAAATATAGATGGTTTTGCTCTTAGTAATCCTGGTATGGCTGGGGCTGGAGGTTTGCTACGTGACCATTTTGGCGGATGGATGATTGGCTTCTCACACAACATTGCATGGACCACTAGCATTGCTACAAAATTATGGGCAATTAGGGATGGGTTGGAAATTGCTGTTGGAAGAGGGATTTCAAAAATAATTGTGGAAACTGATTCTCAAATTGCTACTTTGCTTATTGAAAATGCTGTGCTACCTTGCACTCATTGGGTGTTCTCATTTCTGATTGTAGATCACTTCTAAGTCTCTTTTCTGATGCTAGGATCAGCCATATTTATAGGGAAGCTAATGCGGCTACAGATTTTCTTCCTAAACTGGGGGATCTACTACTGTCATTGATTTTGTTTTGTATGAGGAAAGCCCTCTTGGGATTTCTTCTATTTTGTATCATGATTGTATCGGGATTGAATTCCCGATATCTGTTGTAGCCAGCTAACTTTCTAATTATATAAATATATCTCCTTATTACCAAAAAAAAAACATATTGTCCTCTAATTTTTTTTACTAAATAAATAGAAGATTTTTCATTTCTCCTCTTTCCTTAAACCAAATATATTATAAGATTTTTTTTTATTAAAAAAATTATTACTTAATTATTTAAAATTTTTACATCTTTTTAAATTTTACTAGTGATTAAATAATATTTTATGTTCAAAAAATATTATTTAATCACTAGTAAAATTAAGGAATTTATAAAAAAATTATTTTTTTATTAACTAAATCTCTTTACTCTTAAGAGAGGCCAATGACATTCTAGCCTTTCATTTTTACTATTTAGATAAAGGTTTTCATTTCTATGAAAGACCTTTTGAAAAGTGCCTCCTGGTGTTAATAATGGCATGTTAAATATTTGTTGGTCTTAAGTCCTATGATTAATCAGTCCTTAAATACTGCATCATTATGTCCAAGAATACCTTTCATTAACTTTTTTTAATGAATTGAACGTTGACATGGTTAGTAAGATTTGGTCCCTGCTTTAACGGCTCATTTTTAAATTTGAGTACTACCTTTTATTCCCATTTTAGACTATACAATAATAAGAACTAATTTTGTCATTTTTTAAATTTTTATTTATATAATTATGACTTAAATTTAAAATGTATTACTTCATTTAAATAAAAAATTATTACTAAATTAATTAAATTTACTCGTAGTTGAGCCTTTTGTTAATAGTTCCTTCTTAGCATGTCATCTATAAGTACCATTTTAAGCCTTTATCAATAGGAATGGTAATTTTCCTCGATCCCCGCGGGATTCGTGGGGATGGGAATCATTTTTCCCCTGCGAAATTTTGCGGGGAATTTTCCCCGCCCCGTGAAGCCGCGCAGGAATCCCCATCCCCACAAAAAATAAAATAAATATAAATTAATTTTATTTTAAATTTAATTTATCTTTCAAACTCAAATTCAAATCCAAACTCAAACACAAACTCAAGTTCAAACTCAATTCAATCAAAATTAAATTTAATCTAATTTTACCTAACCCAACCCAACCCAATTCATAAAAATTAACCCAATTCATTCCCCTACTTACATTTAACCTTAACCCTAATTCATTTCTCAATTTTCATTTTCACCTCCCTCTCCATTGTTGGTTTAATTTTTATTTATGTTTTAGTTTAGCTTGGATTAATCTTTGTTTATGTTTGGAACAAATTTGTTCATTGTTGGTTTAGTTATTTATGTTGAATTGATTTTTATTTATATTTGGACAATTTATATTTGATTTTATAGTTAAAAATTTTAGTTAATTGTATTTAAATTTTTAGAGTTTTATTTATTATAATTGAATATTAATTAATTATATGTAAAAAATAAAAAAACTTATAATTTAATATTAATTGGTGAGGAACGGAAACGAGGAGCAAAATCTACTCCCGTAAAAAATCTCCGCAAGGATCCCATCCCCGTCATTCGCAGGGACGAGGACGGGGACAAACTCCCCAATCCTATGGGGCCCCGTTGACATCCCTATTTATCAACCTTCTGACATGTCCTGACCTTTAATTGAATACTGCATGCTTAGATTATAGAATTAAGAACTCCTAAAATTTGATAGTAACTTTTTTAATAAATTGAACCCTCTAATTGTAAAAAATAAATAAATAAATAACACTACTAGTTGGATTAATAAAACACTACTATAAAAATTCCTTTTATTAAAATATATATTGTTTCAGTGAGAATATTGTTTTACCGTCAGATTAATGTCAAACTATAATAAATTGATCATCTTAAATTTTAAGAAAAAAAGGTTTTGCCTCTAGAAAACCCTTTTATTAATAATTATAATTATATAATTTGTATTAAATTAGATTATATAATATTTTTTTGTTTTTTATTTTATTTTACTAATGTTATATTCTTTAGGATATGTAGAACGCGAAGAATAAATAAGAGGTAAAACCTTACGTTAACTCCTTAAACTTATGTTAGATTTTTAATTAAGTTCTTAAACTTTTATTAAAACAAATAAACTCCTTAATTTGATGATTTGGGTAATTTAACTCCTCCTCTTTACAACAAATTTAATATTTATTTGTATACCACTTGTGTAAACAGTATATTGATATGTGAACAATATATTAACATGTCATTACCTATATAACAAGTATTAATCTTATTCATACATATAAAACACAAACAAGTGTTTAAGTATGCTATAAAGAAGAAGATTAAATTGTTCATATTGAAAAACTCAGGTCATTTATATGTTTCAATAAAAATTTAGAGGTTCAATTGAGAATCTAGAATAAACTTAAGGGCTTAACATAGAGTTTTGCCTAAACAACAAGCATCTAAGGACTTTCTTCATTCTTACTCTTACTTTTTCAATTTTAACCTAAAACTCATTTTAAATTACTATAAATATCGCAATTCGCACCTTCGAAAACCCTGTGTACTCTCTTCGCTTACTTTCTCCCTCAAATTCCCAAGAAAAGAAGGCTCGAATCTTGACCCTGTGATTTTTCCCTGAGAAAATCGGAAACATGAGGTAATCCAATCATCTCCTTCATTTTCTTTGATCTTTTTTCTTGCATTTTCTCTTCCTAAAGTAGTGTTTGGTTGCTGGTAAATTGAAGGAAAAGCTGTTTCCGTTTTCTTTTAGTTTTTCTTCCATTTTTTTTCCCCTTCGGGAATCATCGTGTATTGTTATTGTTAGCATACAAGTTCAATACTTTTCAATATTTTAGGGCTTCAATGATCGTGGTCTCTTTTTTCTTCAATTGGAAATTGTGTTTTTTTGGGTTAATTTGTTATCCTTGCTTTTCTCGATAATCAAGCAGGATTTTTATGGGTTTTGCGTTTAATGAGGTGCATAATCATGGTGCTTTGTAATTGATCTCTGGTGAGTGTTGGTTCAGTGTCTTGAGTTTGGGTTGAAGTGTTTCATGAGGAGAAGGTGGGAAAGAGGACACGTTAAATTGTTTAGTCAAATTGGGTTTATGTTTTTCTAGTAAAGCAATGGCTTGTTTTGAGTGTGCTGTTGGTGGATTTTGTAATCTTGAATGCTATATGTTGAGATGATGAATTAAATGCATTTTGTCTTCTTCTAATGGAATTATAAAAATATTATCGAATGGTTATAGTTGATGTCTGCTTATGGAAGAGCTGTCAGCTGCAGTTTATTATTCCCATGAAATGTGTTCAGGTTTCTTAGATTTTCATGTGTTCTGGTTTCCTGGTCTCTGCTACACATATCAAGTATGGAATATGTTAAGTTTTCACCAGTTTTCAATTTACAATTTGTTTTCAAAGGATCTTTACTGGGGTGGTTGGCAATGAGGGTGTTTCCATTTGTTTCCTCTTTTTACATATATATAGGATGGATGGTGAATTTAGTCTGTTGGTAGGACAACAATTAAATCAATTACCATTACCTGGAAATTTAAAGAAATTATCCTGATTTCTTAGAGATAAGCGTGTGGAGTTCTTTACTTGGAAGTATAGCAAGGCATCAAACTTCAGCAACTTTTTGATCTATTTGGGTTGAATGCAGCAGTTTCTAAGATTTTCTTCAAGAACTGAGCAATAAAATCCCCTTCAGAGGATTCATGTCTTATACATGACTGGATCTTTCTTTCTGAGCTTATGTTTTGAACATTTTAACTTGTAGCCGACACCCTACAGTGAAGTGGGCCCAGAGGTCAGATGTGCTTTACATAACTGTTGACCTGCAAGATGCACAGGATGTCAAGCTTAAATTGGAGCCTGAAGGAAAATTTTCCTTCTCTGCTGCCAGTGGAGCAGATAAGATTCCCTATGAAGTGGACATTGATCTGTATGACAAGGTTGATGTAAATGTAAGTCCACAACTATTATCTTGCTTCCAATGGTTAATCCCTTTCATATGCGGTTTATGTGAGGTTAAACATATATATGACTTGCAGGAAAGCAAGGCTAGTGTAGGCAAGAGAAATATCTGTTATCTCATGAAGAAAGCTGAGAATAAGTGGTGGAAGAGATTGATTAAGCAGGAGGGCAGACCACCTGTCTTTTTGAAAGTTGATTGGGATAAATGGGTTGATGAAGATGAGGAACAGGAACAGGAAAATAAACGTTAGTCTTATTTCCCCAATATCTCTTATATCATTCACTGTCATGTTTTCCTGTCTAAGTTTGTGTTGGCTTGACTGATTGGGCATTTTGGTTACAGCTGGATCTGATATGGACTTTGGTGACTTTGACTTCTCTGTAAGTAGTGAAGTAACCTCGTTGATATCTGGAATTTTTAGCGTGTCTAGATGTGGATGGACCTGATGCAATTTGCATTTTCTTTTTTATTGTCTTAGAAACTGAATATGGGTGGTGCTACGGGTGAAGGCTTTGATGCTGGTGATGAAGGATTTGACGCTGGTGATGGTAAGTGTCATGGTCCATGACTCCATGCATAAGGCATTATCATCTAAGCCCTGGGGCATGCAAATTTCCTTGCATTCATACTCATCTAATCTTTCTCTATTAAGTGGAAGATTAGCTCTAAGTTATCTCTCATGCAGAAGATGATGACAGCGACACAGAAGATGAAAATATGGAGGAAACACTTGATGCAGAGAAGGAAGGAGCACCACCTTTGAAGAAGAAAGAAGCAGCAGCTTCAGCTAGTGGTGAAGCTGAAGAGAAAAAAGATTGAAGCCGCGTGCCCAAACTCCTGAGCCACACTAATAACTAGTTGAGTTGAAAGTTTGACAAACAAATATTATGAATGCTTTAGTTCTTGAGTGCCTTTCTAGTGGAAACATTCTCTAGATTTGTAAACTGTTATTTCTTGAAATCAGTTGGTGGAATTATAACGTCAATAGCAGTTGCCTTTTATAGACACAATGGCCATACCTCTCATGAGGTCTAATACAAAAGCCCTCATAGCTGCTGATCATGAATTACGGTGGTCAGTTGCTAGTTAACAAATTACTGCAAAGTGGCTGGATCTGCTCAACTCCAATATTATAAAAGATTCTAACTAATTCACTATAAATTGATGCAATCAATCAAATCAAAACATAAGTGCAGCAATATAATCATGTGGCCTTAACAAATGTTCCATCTGGCCATCACCATGGCCTTGGATTGAAAGAAGTTGCCATTTTCCCACATCAATGCATCTATCAATTTCCATCTTTTCAGAATATATATCAACAGAAATGGATATCATAAACCTCGGGAAAACCACAAGAACAAATTAACATACGCAAATTGTCTGTATTTTCCACCTTTATGTTTACCACAATAGCCTCCTAGTTTTCTTTTGCAAAGCCTACACAGAACAGCATTATCCAGAATATCTGCATTTTCCATGCAATGACAAATCAATGATGCGTCACATAGGATTTGTATTAACATGAATACCTAAAAGACAATGCATATTAGGCCAGTATGCCGTTTAGTGCAAATATCAGACAATCTTCCATCTCATAACCATATAAAGCTACATCAGCAGTCAGGTAGCCTCATTGGTGCCACTTCAGAAGGCGGTCTTAAAGTGCAAACCATTTCTTTTGTCTTTCCAAAGTAAACCTGTAATTGGCAGATGTTAAAACCCACAATGTCATCCAAGATATCATCATTTTCAGAGGCAAACCAAAAGGATAAGGCTCCTACATAATGGTAATAGCTAATAGAAGATGGCAACTTTGAAAGCAACATGCAAAGAGAAGTTGAAATAAAACAATGGAAACCATCATACCTGATCCAGTGAGTACCTCAGCTTGCTCTCCATTTCCTCTATCATCTTTCCCATGTTACAGAGATGACCATCCGCAACTGCAAGGTCCATATTCATCTGTGTGCAAAGAAAATTAGAAATGGAGAAAAAAGTTAAAATAAAAATAGCAAGGTTTTAATCAAAACTAAAAACTAAAAAATCCAATAGTATGAACAGAAGGATGGCTAACGAGCATTCAGCTACTTTGCTTAACTCATTTCTTATTAATGTTTACAGAAGCAAGTTCAATGCAAGTGACACCTTGTTTTTAATTGTCACAAAACACTTCTTGTATTCTTTTACCAAAAATAAATAAAACACTTCTCTTATTCAAACTACCGCCTGCCACCCTTTTCCTTCATTTAAGTTTTGGTGGAAAGGTGTGGGTAAAGTTGTCTTACAGTAAGTTAAAATAATGAGCAAACAAAAACATTTAAAAGCCCTCCCAGTTATGGTTCCTCTTACGTTGGATGACTGGCAAATGGTGAAGCAACAACTCTCCATTAAACAGGACCAGCATAGGGTTGCTATGCAATCAATATAATTATAAGCAAGACTAACACCTGACTTTAATTTAAGAAACCCAAGCAAAAGTTACCTGTCGTCTGATTGACCCAGACAAACTGAAAGTGCCAGTAGACTCATCATCGGTAGTCAAAGACAGCATGACTGTACTAGTCAAGCAGTAACGAGCTGTTCCTTCCCACTCAGGTCCCACCTAGATAACATAACAATTTAGATTTTAGATTTGCAGATGACTTGAGAAAATAGCAAACACACTTATGTTCCATAGGGCAAAGGGTTAACACTGAGGGTTTGCTAGCTGGGAGGAAAGAATTTTATCCCTATGGGCTATGCCTACGTGTATTAACGCACAGAGTTCACCTGTATAACATGAATAGCATCCCATGCTCCCTCCTCCAGATAACCCCTTCGGCCATGTGCTGTCTTTGAGCCATCTTCATCCAACACCAACAACAGCAAATTTAGTAAACTAAAAGTCATAGAGTGTTGAACACCAACACCCCACCCCTACACCCCCCACCCCCCCCCCTCAAAAAAAATAAAGAAAAAAGAAGAGTAAAAGCCATAGAGCTTCTCATTCCTGATATAAATTAAAGCTGCTTACCTTTCTTTATCAGAAAGCAAGCTACAAAACCTTCATTTTCATCTTCCCACATATAAACTGATGAGATGCCACCTTCATAATATCTAGTCATTTGGTGGTCAATCAAAAAGGTTATAATTGAATTAAATGGGGGAAAAATTGCATGAAGTAACATCAGACAACATCTAACTGGATTGAGTTATGCTTACTCTAGCATAGGATGAGAGGATGAGAGAGAGAGAGAGAGAGAGAGAGAGAGAGAGATGGTACTAGAAATTTACTCTATCCACAATCTTAAGAAAACAAGCACACTGGAAGACGAGGAAAGTAAAGAACCTCACTGGTCACGGTAGACTGAAAAGATATCGTTAGCTTCAATTTCGAGTTTCCTCAACTCTGATGATGGATAGGGTCCATCTTCCAATGGTGGATGGTATTTGTCTGACCAAGGTGACCTACAAGAAGTGCAAGAGCATGGACCAAAAATACAATTCATAGCATCTAGAAAGTCAGAAAATAATTAAACAAACATTGACTGATGAACTATAGGTCAGAATCAGTTTTCCGAATACAAAAGCACTATTAAGTAAATCTATTTGTAGTTGACATGCTTAAATTATCAGAGAACAAAGAAAGCAGTTGCTTATAAAACAATCTTTTTTAACATTTAAGTAATATACAGAAAGGTATTAATTAGAGAAGTGTGGTACCATAGACCACAGGGATATGCTTCTCTAAAATAAACAAAATAGCATATAGGTCTTTTGCATGAAAATTCCTAACAGGGGTCAACATTCATGAGCCCACCATCTGGATCCAGGAACAAAGGACAAACTAAATCACAAGCAGATGGTTGGCATAGACACGGCTTCATAGGCAGTCATGATGATTGTTTTGACATCCTATTTATTAATTTCAAGACAAAAATATGGAAATGCAAAAAAGGATGGAAATATAAAATCTCAGTTCCTAAACAATAAAACAGCCCAAGTGGGATTCAGGGGCATCAAGAGGATAAATGCAGATCAGAATCGGGGCAGAACTTTCAATCAAAATTGGAAGGTATATAATTCAAGAATACCTATAAGAGTCTGCATCTCTATTGTATT